GCCATCGCTATTAGGTTGGAGGCTATCGCTGTTAGGTTGGAGTCCATTGGAGTCCATCCCTACTAGGGTGGGGGCCATCGCTGTTAGGTTGGAGGCCATCGCCGTCGCTATTAGGTTGCAGACTATCGCTATTAGGTCGGAGGTCATCACTACAAATTAGGGTGGAGGCCATCGCTGTAGGTGTAATCTTCGTTAAAATTGAATCGCAATATCGGTTCATCTGCGAAAGTTAGACCTTAGAAACACGTCACTCTAACCCCCCACCCACCCCGCAACACCACACAGTCCCACGTTAGAAACCCTATAAAAAGACGCGTGATAAGAATCGCCGTTTGTCTCGTCTATGGCGAGATTCACTTTGTTTTGCGAATCTCAACGGTCGGCCCGAGGGAACTAGGAGAACTGTGCCGATGGAGAACAAACAAACAGTACACAAACTAGATGGTTCTGCTGGCTCAAACACAAAGGGATTTCGGCCAACGCCAATTTCCCGGCCTGAGAGGCTTTCGTGTGTTCCCCCACGGCTCAACCTCACAGCAACAACGGCCCGCCCCAGAGACCCCCAACGATGTCAGGAAGGGATGGAGAAACGATACCTAATGGCCTGCTTGTTATGAGCGTGTGGGCGCGCCTGTTTAACTCGGAATGGTGAGCTCAAGAGTTCGTTGGACCAGTTCGGTCGTCTTCAGTTCACCCAGTTCGGCGTCTTTTGTTGGCCAAAGATCTGCAATTCCCAAAGGCATGACTCGCAATGTCCATGAAGTGGCAATTGGCCATGAAGTACTGTGACACTGTGACAGGAGTTGCAAGAAGTCTGCATCGGGACTCACTGTGCCATCGCGCAGGTTGTCGATGAGGCCCCTAGGTGTCATGAATCATCACAGCCTATCAAATATGACTCTGACAGTACTCTTTGGTTTATCAGTTGATTCTCGCCTCTTTGTTGAGGTGCAAGATCATCACGTGATTGTCTTTCTCGCCTCATCATTACATAACCACGATGGAGGCCATCGATTCTAGCACGAGACTGGTCGACTGGTCTTTCCCGCCTGGTTGTCCTTCCGGGATATAAAAACACCTGTATCTGGGACAGCCATCCTCGTCGGTCTCGTATATCGCGTAGACCCACTCCTTTTTACCTCGGTAGAACGACGCGGCATCACCCAGGCAGGAACAGCGTTCGTTCGGACTGAGTTTGCAGCTCTTGATGGCAGAATTCGTTCCGCTCCGGATGATCTGGGGCGGCACAGGCGGAGCAGGCGGAGTGGCAACTGCCTCCTGTGCCAGCAAAGGTCCCTCTGGGCTGTTGTCAGCAGCACGACAGTGGAAATGAACGCACCTGCGTATCATCACCAACACGTCTCCGCTTGGCATCGGCATCGGCATCGGCATTGTCGGCATAGGGATTTTGAAACATCCCGTCTCGTCCGTGCCTCCTGTGGCTATCAGTGTGGAATGTTAAATGATGGTCTTGTTCGTGAGAGTACTTGTTCAGCAACGCATGAAATCCATGCGGTGACTTGCTGTTCTTGAGCAACACTGTGCTTACAAACCAAATCGACAAAACAAAAAAACGTGTCTGACCAGACTTGAGATGCCGTGCGTTGTTTCCGTGGTTCCGGCGATACTGTTGCATGATACTAAAGCAAGGAGAACTCAGGTAGCTCAACTGAGAATACACGCACCGATTTTGAATGTCCAACATGAATGAACGCACCCCAGTGTCTCTTGCTCGCGCCACAGTGCTCCAATGCTCTTTTTGTTTTCGCAGCAAAATGTCAGTCATACTTTGTAGAATTTCACAGGTCAGGGTTTATAGTTATTATGTTTGAAAAAGATTTATAGGTTTTTTGAAAAGACACCAAAAAACAAAACCTACAATCCCGCAGAAAGATACCAGCAAGGTGAATCCAGAAGTTTGGACTCAGGAAACATTGTACAAATACTAGGAACTTGCAGGAAAATGCAAACATACATACCAATCAAGCAAACCCTGGGCTCAACAAACTGCGCATGGTGCACGGCCATCTGTGAGTCTGTGTGAGCCAGCTTGTCTCTTTTTTCTCCTGTGACTAGCGACTTCTGCCTTCAGTCTATCATCAGCTCCGTGGCTTTGTTGGGTGACAAACGCTTCGCTCATTTGTTCTCCATTGGCGTGTTTGTTTGTTCTCAACGAATCTATGTCATGTTGAATCTTTCGTCTATGTGCAGTGTCTTTCCATGCTTTTCCTTTCTGTCTTCGTCGGGGGCTGTCCTCGCTGAGCACACCCAGTGTGAGCAGATCTTCGCCAGCAGCAGCCAACACACAATGTCGGCCTTCTGGCAGAGCAGATGCCCAAGCCTGCGACAGCAAACGCCTTCGACAGGAACATGGCAGCTCTGCAGCTCTGCTTTGGATGTTCCGCAGCTCTGCAGTTGGATGTTAGGGCTATCCTCTGGGACAAAGAAAAGAAACTAGTAGTAACAAAAAGCTAGTAGGAACAAGTGCCTTACTAGTAGTAACAGGTGCCTTACTAGTAGTAACAAGGACGCTAGTAGGAACACCTGAAAGGCCCAGCAGGTGACGCGACGTGACGCGACGTGCTGCGTTCTTCAAGGCCTTTGCTTCTTCAACGTCTGACGCATTGAAGCTCTTCACTTCGATTTCAGGGCCTTCAGGACCTTCGTCGCAAAGCCAGTTCTGGTGCAATTGTTTTGAATATAGTGTATTTTGTTTATTTGTGTATTTTGCATTTTTTCTTTAGGTGTTGGTTCGCCTCCTTTCATTCTTTTGATCTTGTGTTTGCTTTTTGTTCTCCTTCTTTCCTTTCTTCAGACTTTCCTTTCTATGTTTGCTTTCAAGCCTGGCATTGAAGCTTCAGATAAAAGGACCCTGGATCTCTTAACTCCTCGAGCTGACTCTAGCTGGTTGTGGTTTCCGCAAGCTGTTCTTGGATTCCGGCCTAGCACTGCCACATGGACACCAGAGGAACAAATGTTCAACAGGACTTGGCTGCCAAAGCTCAGCAGGACCTGCACGAGTGAAGTTGAAAAAAACTACCTACTTGGCCAAACATGCGAGGATGATATCTGCGAATGAGAACGTTTGGGCGTGAGTTCGATGGGATGTTTTATGCGATGGAAACACCGTATGACGGTTGATTGTCCAATCGCACGCTGAAGTCAGCGCTCAAAGCTGCGCAGTCTGTTCTTTTGCTGTCGTCCGCCAAATACGACGCATTCTGAGAGTTGTTTCGGTGGAGATATATATCTCAAAATACTCACGTCTATGCTCATCCATAGGGATGAAATGTCAGGGAACCAACTTTGATAAGGACCCACTGCGTAGAGCAGGTAGGTCAAAAAGAAAGTGACACTATTCCAGCCGCATGTGGCTGCATGGCCATGCAGTCAGAGACTCACAGGCCAACCATTTGTTTCAAGCGACTCCTTGCTCTCCCTCCTCAACTGTGCACACCCGCTTGGATATCTTGTTTGACTATTCATCTATTCCAACAATCAGGAACAACCTACGAGTACTAGCGATGGCCTCCAATAGGAATGGCCTCCAACCTACTAGCGATGGCCTCCAACCTAGAAGACACAAATTGAATTTCAATCCGAAAGCCAAGGAATAGCAAGCCCAAGTCAGGTCACGAGAAAAGACTGTCTGAACTTAAAAGTCCTCGGATTGGATTGCATGGATCTCCGTCTTGATTGCCTGGAGACCCGGAGCATTCCTCGTGAACTTTCTCTTTGCGCCTTTAGAGCGACCAGCACCTGCAGATAGCATTCAAAAAAGTTTACCGTCTTCCGGTATTGCTCAAGCCTTCAAGAGCCTTAAAGGAGCATGGGTGGGATAAAGCGCTAATGGGATAAAGACAAAGAGGAAAGCACGCGGAAAGCGTGCCAAAAGCGCAAGCTGAGCGACATGTGCTGATCCAGAGTTGGACTTCAGCACTTGCATAGTTCCAGAGGCACTACCCGAGCTTGAAGGCAAGCTTATTGGGACATCTGAGAAGGAGAACAAGGTGAAGGCCAAGTCTCTCCCGTCTTTGTCCGAGTTTTCCGCGTCCTTCTGCAGGCGTTTGAAGAGAGCATTGAAGTGAGGCGGGAAGAGCTCGGTGACTGCCATGCCTAGGGCTTCTGTGAGACCAGCCGAGGTCCCAGCCACAATGCTGTTCCCCACATCAATGTCCAAGAACAGTTGCCGATATGAATTGGGGATGGCTGGGTTTGTGTTGCGAGTCGACTGACTCAGCATGCTCCCAGTTTCATGATGCTCCATAGACATCTCGGGACTCAAGGACGAATAGATCGAGGGGGTTCGGCCTCGGGCGGCGAGTATCTCTTGCGGCCTCTCGTCTTCAAATGATTCATCTGAAAACTCCCGCAGCCCCACCAAGAAATGCTGTTGTTTGTCTGACATCTCGTGCATCACCATGAGGACTTCCGTGGAGACATAGTTTCCAAAAGAGTTCAGCAAACGAGTGTGAAAGGCATTCACCAAGAGCTCTGATCCTGAATGCTCACGAAAACCATCCAAAAGTCCACGGGTCCGCTCGACCTGAGCTCAGGGGCGCCGATGTCTTCTGTTTTCCTTCTTTTCCACTTCTCAATCACACATTGTCGCACTGCACACTGATGACACTTGTGACATCTCAGGAATGTTCAACAAGTCTCAATCACTCTGCCTTTGCTATTAGGTTGGAGCTCTCGCTGTCCGGCCTCGACATCAGGCATTAGCTCCATGAGGCTTTTCTCCTCCAGAGTGTCCTCTTCAGCACGGGTGAGTAGTAGTATGGCCAGGAGCTACTAGTAGCTTCTTGCTCCTAGTAGCAATGTCAGGAGCCCCTACTAGCGTCCTTGCTCCTAGTAGGGATGCCCTTTGTTACTAGTAGCGTCCTTGCTCCTAGGGTAAGTGAATGAGCTGCTTCCTGGCGGCAGTACTATAGCCGTCGGAAACTTCCTCCAACACACCTCTTTGCTGAATCGCTTTAGAATTATTCCTGATATTTCTTTATATACATAGTTTCCGCATTGCAGTTTCGAAGGATTGGTGGTTTCTGAATGTGTTTTTTAGGTTTTCTTGTTCGATCTTAAACGTGACGTAGTTTCATCGATTTCCGCAGGACTGTTTGACCGGAAGCTCAACTATGTCAAAAACAGCTCCTCCTCCTCGCAGAGCATAGCAGCAAGGGGTGGCGAGGAATGCTCTAGGCAAAAGGTCTCGTCCGTTCGAACCACCGCATCGCACATGAAGCGCAACAACGCCGAGGCCGTGCCAAACTGCACCGCCGCATCGTCACGTTGAAGCTTCCAGGAAGCACACTGTGCCAAAATTGGTTGAAGTGCCACGCTAAGCAGCACTGTGAAACTGAAAATGAATGCCTCCACCCACAAGGCAGTGCTGCCCTCTGTGTGCCTCGCAGCCACAACGAAGAGAAAGAGTGAGTTGCCGAGAACTTGGGAAGAAATGCGCGTGCACATGAAAATCGTTGGAAGCCGGAAGACCAGCAGAATCATTGACATGTAGAAGATATCTTGGGAGCTGGTATGGCTCGGCAACAAATGTGATACGCCCAAAGCTATGATGGCAATGAACCATGAGTTGAGCAAGAACCTTGGTGTTGCAAAGCTTCTCAGGATCTTTGGCAGGGCGATGCAAACATTCAATAATGCACAGCCCAGGAAGATGGTCCAGCAGGATTCCGCAGACAACCACAGTTGTCGGTTGAAGGCAAGGCTTAGCTGTATATAGACCACAGCTCCAGTATGCAAGAAAGTAAGCAAGTTGACGGATTCTCGTGCCAGAACAAGTCGGACATCACAAATAGCATCGCACAACTCATCACCGCAAGATCTCCTTGCATTGTCTTGCAGTTGTGACACACGACAAAATAGACACCGGCGAATGGCACGATTTTGTGAAGACCTAACTTGATTAGCAGGACCTAGCCATTTGCTTCGAAAAGAACATGCCTGGGTTCCACGATGTTCCAAAAACACTCGGAAAGCATTCCGCAGCCAGACTCCCCAGGCCTGAGTTGGAGCCAATACCGCTGCAAAACCTTCTTGATCCAGGGCAATGCGTAGAGCACCCTCACGCAAAGAATCAGCTCCAGTCCTGGCTACGATCTAAGATCTACATTCAGAAACGAACACTGCCTTAAATTGTAACTTCAACCCAAAGTTGTTGGGTGCAAATTTCAGTGGCTAAAGACACTGTTGGGCAATACTCAACAATATATCATGATACCATCCCAAAATCACCTCAACAAACTGATGACCACACCTGAACAGCTGCACCCTAAGCGGAAACCCACAGAGCGAAATCCTCCAACTCAAAAGCCAGAAAGCTGTAAAACAATGTAAAGCACAATTGCCGTCTACGTACCAGCATAAGACAATTGCTGTCCAGTCTACGTCTGTCTACGGTTTCATACCTCATCACTCCACTGGATTCCCTTCGATTCTTTCCCGTTCGGTGTTTTCATGAATCAAATAAAGCTTTGCATGTTTTTTACTAGCTTCTTGTTACTACTAGTAAGGCACTTGTTACTACTAGCTTATAATACAATAAAGCAAGATTCCAATGGATGCTGCAAGGAATGGCCACCCTGGATCCAAGGCCATGATGTGTTTCACCTCATGCAACCATCTTTGAGCCGAGCAATGCGGACAAGTCCAATAGACAGATATCTCGGGGAAAGGCATGTCTGCTGTTCGCAGTTATCTGCTCCTCCATGCAAGTGCTCATGAAGGTAATTAGTAGTTAGTGCCTGTGGTTTGGGTATTATTGTGGAACTATATACATCCTGATGTCCTAAGAGGTGTTTCTCGTAAGCCCTGCTACTGGAATTCGGCGATAACTGTTGTTGAATGACAGCAGATCTTGGATGAAGATGATGAAGAAGAAAATGATGCGTTGAGACATGTTGAGACCTCTACAATCTTCCCCCGCCTCTGGCCCATCCAGCCTGCGCGGAAGAACTGCGGCAAGTGTGCATGTCTGGAAAGAGACAAAGCCTACTAGCAATGGCCTCCAACCCAAGAGCGATGGCCTCCAACCAAGTCGCTTATATCTCAGGTCTCACTTCAGTTGGTGAGTTCACTCCAAAGGAGACCTTTTCTTTCTTCCGATCTGATCCCATCTTTTGTCCCCTACTAGCAGCAAAGGGCATCGCTACTAGGAACAAGGACGCTTCTACGGGCTCCTGGCCTTGCTACTTGGAGCAAGGACGCTACTAGGGGCAAAGGGCATCGCTACTAGGAGCAAGGAAGCTCTTAGATGCTCCTGGCCTTACTACTAGGAACAAGAAGCTACTAGGGGCTCCTGGCATCGCTAGTAGGAGCAAGGACGCTTCTACGGGCTCCTGAATGCCCCCGGAAAGCCGGTGACGTCATGTGCCCACACCCCGCGCCAGCTGCAGAAAGAGCTCAAGCGCTTCGTGGGCTCAGCATTCACCCACCAGCCCTGACCTTGGAGAGCAAGCTAAGTGTTTCAGGTATTCTATTCGATTCTATCCTATTCTCCTTCCTCCTGTTTCGTCCGGTTGACACGTTTCTTCCTTGTTTTCTTCAATGTTCTCCTCAATAGCGTGAAAAAAGTGTTTGTACATTGCGTGCATGTTAAATGTCCATTGTAAGCGAACTTCTAGTCGGGTAGTAACTGTAGTTGAGTCTGGGGTGGGACCTAATCGGCCTTATTCTAGTGGGAAGGGGCAGTAAAGTAGAATGCATTTCTGCCGCTGGTAGTCTATATGCCTGCTATATGGGGGTACACAAGTTAAGTCCAAGATCAGAGTCGTTCCAGGTTCTGGTAAGCTGCCTTGCCGTACAAAATGTCCTCTCCCTTTGAATTCCCTCACACCAGATCAAGACCGCTTTGCAAATATCAAATTACCAAAGCACCAACCAAATATGAGCAAATCACCAACAAACGTGCCTCTGTGCACTCACCACTCACCACTTTACACGATGTCGTCGACACAATTTCTGAAACACTGGGAAAACAGCTCCATGTCCACTTGGAGGTCGGCGGAACCTGCATATGCTGGCAGAAATCTTAGAAACAACTTGGCATCCAAACTGAAAGGCGGCGTGACAACAAATTGTGGTTCATGTCTTCCTTTTCTTCTTGATATGTGTCCAAAAGCAATGGCCTCAAACCCACTAGCGAGAAGCGATGGCCTCCAACCTAAGAGCGATGGCCTCCAACCTAAGAGCGATGGCCTCCAACCTAAGAGCGATGGCCTCCAACCTAAGAGCGATG